CCTCGCGCGTCTCCTTCATCTGCGCCATGGAGAATGGGCGCTTCTGACCGAGCCAGCTCGCAGCGCTCTCACGTCTACAAGCTTGAGCCCTTGACACAGATCGGACAGCAGCTGCCCTTCAAGCAGAACTCCGGTGCAGTTTCGTTTGACTCAGGGCCCGGCCCTGCGACGCACCCTGGGACGCTTTCTGGCCTTGGCTCCTGGGAACAGGAGATGCCGTAAGCAGCGGATCGGACGCAGCTTCTCCCCGGCCTGGCCACAGGAATCCCGACGACCTGACATGACCTGACCCGGCCCAGCTACCGGGCGGTGCCGGTGTCCGGCGAAGCTCGAGCAAAGAACGGCGGCAGAAGAACGGCGGCAGAAACGCGAGCGGAGCGGCTTGGCATGGCTTGGCCCTGGCCTCCACTCGGCTCCAGCCCTGCTCGGCGTACTGGTCGGTCGAAACCTGACCGAGAAGCGGCGAGTGCGATGCGAAAACGATGCGAGAACGTCGATTGTGTGCCCAAGGCAATGGCATTGTCCACGTGATGGACCTCCACAGCCCAGCTGCGACATTTCTGGGCTCGGTCTCCTTTTTCACAGTGCTCGGTGCCGCGCAACAGAGAGCAGCAGGAGAACATCACAGAGGTTGCCAGCGGCTGCGAGGCCGGAAACCTGCAATGAAAACATGGCAGCCACGGCAAGGAGACGGAAGCCTTCAGCCTTCTTGAAATCCCAGACGTCCGGCGCCAGGAAGCAGTTTGGCAATTTCCTGCAGGCTGTCATCCCTTTCAACACTCCAACGAGCAGCTGGGACTGAAGAACCCGGCAGTCGATTGATCCATCGGAGGTGCGTTTGAACAGCCTTCGTCGCAATGATTTGGTCCTGGCACGGTCGAAAGGCCGATGACGGTCGGGGGGCACCCGCCCGGCACCACAGAAATCTGTACTAAGTCATCATCTCCTGCGTACCATCTAAGCCAGTCGTACCGTTTCCGATACCAACCTAAGCTACGCCAGCTCTTCACCAACACGACAAAAAAGACTCGAAGTTGCGTGCGTCCAGCAGACAAGCTCTTGGTTTCCGACCGACCCCTCCACGCCGAAGACGGATGCCTGAGGATAGGCCACGGCTGCCTGCCCACAGAGTCGACACGTAATTTTGAGTGTGAGAGCTAATTCTATCAAAGGCAGTCAAGCATGTTGCCGGCACTCCTGCAAGCTGAAGAAGCCACAGCAGCTACCCAGGTCGATCAAGGAAAAGGGTGCCTGACGTCAACACATGTCAAGTTGGCACACTAACACCTGAGCTGAATGCCTCACCGATGGATCGAAGGATCTCCGTGTCAATAGCTGCCCAACCTCGTTTCGCTCGGATCCAAAGCAGCCACTTGTGGGGGTGACTGGTGCCCTCGTGACACTGTTGCACTGTGCAGAGAGTTCGACAGATGGCCGGCTACCCCTCTTGAACACAGCTACGCCCCATGTAGGAAGATGGCAATGTAAGGGCTCAGGCGAGTGACAAAGTGCAACCACGGCCGGTCAATGTACCTCATGCCCAGATTAAACCTACCTCCATCCAAACGCAAGTGCTGGAGGCACGTGAACTCGTTTTGCGGCAATCGCACAGCAACACGAGATTCCGCTGAAACCTCACAGCAGTGCAAGAAAAGCACTCTAAAAAGTAAGTTCTGGGAAAGCCTCAGGCTCAAACCCCCGGCGCCACCAGCCAAATGCTGTTGCCATTTCCGGCGTCTGAGGTTGCAGTGAGCCCATGCATGTGGATGTGTGAGCGACGCTAGAGTTGTTTCAATCTCCGAAGAACAAGGGCGAAGAGGGCACATCCAGCTGGCTAAAGCTTCGACAGTTACTCAGTTCCAGGGCAGCTCCTTCTCTGTCGTCTCCAGCTCCTGGCTACCATGCGGTCGACTCGTACATAGTCACAGTCTCGTAGTCAGCAGTTAGAGATGTCATGAGATTGCCACACTGCCGAGCTGGCATGCTGGCATTCCCGAACAACCTCTATGCATCCAGAGCATGACCCAATGGTGAGCACAGCAGAAATGGGCATGGCATTGCTCGTCATGAACCCTTGTGTAACCCATACAAAACCTAGCCCGAACCGACGCACTTTGCTACTAGTGTGGGGCGAAATGCCGAACCCCAAACCCTAAACCCTTATAGGCGTCTTGCTTGCTTCTTTCAGAGCTGGGCCTGCGCATGAAGGGTCGCCAGCTGGGACAGGGCGTCTTCTAACTTGGGAGCCTCCGGCTTGGGGAGACGCCCCTGAAACCAAGGCCCCCTTAGTCTTAGGGTTCAGGGTACTAGTTCAGGGAAAGGGTTTAGGGCTTATGGATTAGGGTTTGGGGTTAGGGTTTGGGGTTTTGGTGCTTCAGGGTTCCGGGTCCAACCGCTTGGGGGGACCTGGAAACGTTGCGTTCGATCCTGCTCTGAACCTTGGACACTAGACTACATGTGAAAGGGAATATGTTGTGTCATCAAACATTGTTAATCGCACGAGACAGCGTCAGGAGAATTCTGGCATGCGCCCAATTGCCTGATATGCTGTCGTTGGTCGCCACACGGCCCGCTGCTGCAGGGGCCGCGAAAGGAACTGTTGCTTGCCCATGCACCGGCGTGCCTCATGCAATCGCATCAATTCATCTACTCCCGCGTCAGATCTCGAGTGAAGTGCGGCTACTGCTTGAGCATGCTTGAGCTGGTGTTTGCGAACCTATCCAGGAAATCTAGGCTACTGCTTCTCATGCAGACTGCACGGGGTCTTTTGCAGCTGGAACTGCTGTCAAATCATCAGTATCCACATCGAGCTTGGCCTGCCCCCGGCAACGTAGCCACAGCACGGCCGATGGCCTCTGGAGATGTCGACGAGAGCATGCTAACACCATGCATGTGATGCATTCTCACCAGTTCATGCAGCATATTGTTCAAAGACAATGGTTTCCCTGATGTGCACTTGGGCTTCCACAGCGGCAGCGGCCACGACCTTGAGGAAGCAGAACTGAAGAGCTTGAGAGTTGAAGGTGCTGCAAAAGCATTCAACCCAAGAGAGGCGGAGTGCCGTAAAACTCATTCTTTACCGCAAGTTGCCCTCATCACTCTATTTTGGTCCACGGTGGATCGCAAAGACACTCTCAACATTTCAGACACTCTCGCAGCTGCGTCAGCGGTCATCGAAGCATCGCACCGGTCTAAAGTGGTGCGGGCAAAAGCTGTGCGCCCTGCTGATGGAGGCACCTCCCTCGGCTGTGGCTTCGGTGGCTTCTCCGCCATCAACGACATCCGCGTAGGCTGGCGTAGAAATGATTGGCACGCGCACAGCCGATACAGGGCAGCTCAGGCCGTACCTTGGGAGGTGCCGGCGCTGCGTGCAGCGCCTCGGGATACAGCGCCAAAAAGTTTACAGGAGAAGATCCGCTCTCTTTCGGCTCCCGGCATCGTTTGGGCCGAACTCATAGACCTTGATGGGCTCTGGATCAGCGCGAAGTCGGGCAAAGCATGCTCAGCGCAAGACGGCCGACTGTGTCTGAACCCTCCCAGGGTGCACACCGAAGTCTTTGGAAATTGTCCTGCCTACCACGCAGCGCAATCGTCAGTGACGCCCGTGTGCGGGAAAAACAAACCTAAACCGCGTGACTTAAGGCCTGAATGGCAGCCGCCAGTGCGGGAGAGCCGCGGCTGGCAGCAAGCTTCAATGCTGCAGCCTCGCCCAGCTGGATAAGACGGCGGGATCGACTTCTGAACACCAACTGGGGTGCTTGCAGCATCGTTTCCAGCAGCGATTGTGCTAAGCGGGGGTTCAATGCCCATGCCTGTGGCCTATTTTCGCTTCTGAAGACTTGCTCTGTGGCTTACTATCACATCTCTGCACAGGCTCCAGAGCAGGCCAGCAGCGCTTGGTCTGATGCTGACTGTTGGCCTGCATTGTGAAGTTACACCGTGTCTTCATTGATCATGCGACATCGGTGTCCAAACCTAAGTACTGCACTTTGGGGACTACATGGGACTACCCAGGATCAAAAATGCGGGCCTGTTCGTCCCTCCTGTATCCGATCACTACACCTGTCCATCTCCTTGATCCGGCAATCGTGAATCATCCCGTGACTTGCATCCTAGCATCACAGTCCTGAACACCCCATAACACCCCGACTTTTCACTTTTCACACGCTATGCATGCTGTCGAAGTTGTCCTAGGTCCTAGAATCGAATTTGCGGTGGTGGTCAGCCGCAAGCATGATCTCTACAAACGCCGCCCGCCACTCGCAGGGGATTCCACGCCGACACTATACATTGCCGATCGAATTAGGGGGTCGGCGATGGCCACTGCCACATACCGCCGCCATCGAATTTGCCGGACCAACATCTTGCCCTCAGGCATCTTCCCTGTCATGCAGCAAGAGCAGAGAAGGCTCAGCAGTGCACTTGAGGGCCTCTTGCGTTTCCGGTTGCCGAAGCCCAGGAAGGACGCCAAGGAGGAGCAGCCCGGCCTCCAAACAAGCTGCGCAGTGCAGCGCATTGTCAGACAAGGAGAGGGCGAAGAGTCGGAGCTCTGAGTGCACAGCGAGGGCAGCGGCGCCTTGAGGCTTTCCTCCGCCGGAGAGCGCAGAGCGGCGCGCAGAGCGGTTTTAAACTGGAATGAAGGGGCCGCGCCTTGGAAAGGGAGACGCCGCCCACTCCGGAGAGAAGCTGAGGCACCTGACGCACAGAGCATCGCATCGCACATCCACAACCCGCCAAATCATATGCTGCCAGTACTGCGAGCCTCCTTCTCCAGCACAGCGTCCAGTCGGCGTACGTCTCCCGTGGCAGGCACGGGCAGGTGCAACAAGCCTGCAAAGGCGAAACAAGTTTGCCTCATTCCTGGGGGCAGCTGCTTTCCGTCGAAAAACATGCCAAACGCTACCCCAGGCAAAAATCTGAACACTTCGAAACCCCGGCATGAAACCTGGCTGGCAAGTCTCCATGCTGAAGCCTGACAGATACAAGTCCAAAGCCACCCTGACCCGACATGCAGGCCAAAACACTTGAGTATTTGCTGCCCATGACGGCAGTCACTGTCTTCGTCGCACCCGAAACCTTAAATCCAAGGTTCAAAGTCTTGCCACAGTCATCGACCCCCGGAGAAGGGCCCAGGTATCATCGTTTCACCTCACCCTCAAGTTCAATTCCTATCAGTGTAGCCAATGTGCCCTCTCAAGGTAACTTAGAATGTCAGCTCTTGGTTGCGAGACAAGCGCTCTTCCATCACAGACTTGATAACCCCTTGCAGGGTATCACCCATGAGCCCTATTGGCGTATTGAGCCTCTGTATGATCCGCTTGACGTCGTGTGTGGAGAGAAAGTCCAATGACTAGATCAACGCAGCATAGCTGGAGGTGCTGGCACTGAATCTGGCGCAGGCTTCACTGTCAAGAATCCCGCATGACTCCCGTCTGAGTGCAGCAAGTGCAATGATACAATTCTTGCCCATCTGTCTGCTGTCCGTGCCGTGTTGGGCCATGCTACACACGGTAATGCCCTGCTTCATGCCCTGACGTCTGGGATCATGACAAGCCATGGAAACCTCAACCCTCAACCGATAACCCAGGCCTAGAATTGCCCGACACACCTACGGAAGTCTCCCTCGTACGACCCGACGACCCTGAAAACAAACCCGTGCCAGCAATCATCCTGAGACACCACGTTGAAAAAGCACAGAGAGAACCTCAAGTTATACTATTCTACTTTTACGCAAGGCTGAGTTAGTTCTAAAGTCGCATGGAGCAGCAATTGCTGTCTTCTTTCGCACACTTGACACACCTGACAATCGCGCCTTGCTCGAAGTCCTGAAGCTTTCCCCGCAGCACCTGAGCTCAATGAAAAAAATATGGAAAATGTAGTGACGGTGGTAACAGATCCTTCCTCACCTCGAGTTTCGGCATGTCTCCGGTGCTCAAGCCGTGGACCCGCTGCGCCTGGTGGAAAGCACACTTCCCGGAGCCTGTCTCAAGCCGGCGGCCGCCTCGCTCAACAAAGACTCCAGGTTGGAGCCTCGGTCATCGAGCGGAGCTCCGCGCGCTCGCTTTAACGCTCGCTTCAGGTTCCCGGCAAAGGAAGTGTCGGATCGGCCCGTCGGCCCCCAGCCTCGCAGCGGGCCCGCTTCTCTCATCCCCAGTGGACGGACGCCTGTAGGTCTCCCAGCGCACGGAGGTGAAGAGGAATCCTGGACCCAGCCGAAGGCTCCCGAATGCATGTGCACGCGTGTGCACTACACTACGCTGTCCAGGGCCAGCGTAGACATGAGGTGATGCGTGGCCACGAAGACTGACCGAGGCTCGCTCTCTCTCTCTCTCTCT